TTTTCCCCATAGTTCTCCTTAGGGTGACGGGAGGACACAAACTAGCGTCCTCCCGTCACCCGAGGCTCAGTATATAGGGAGCTACAGCTCGCGGTATACTGAGACCGCCGCAGCCGGAGCGGATCCCGACTTAGATGTCTGGATCCGCCCAGCTGCGTGAGTGACAGCTGGCTCTGCCTATCTAGAGGCAGCTGTACCCGCCCCGTCCGTTTGCCAGTCAGCTCTGGAGGATCGGAGGGGGGAATCAAGCCCCTCCCCCTGTCACGGCAGAGAGCCGTGACAGGATCGAGAAGTGAGCGAACACCTGCATGTGTTCCATCACCTCCCGATCTACTGAGCCGACCTGTCACAGTCTCATTGTCACACGTCGGCTAGAACTATGAGGTGAGTGAAAAGCCCCTCCCCCCCCCTCATAGTTCTCCATTAATGAAAGCGAAGGTCTCATTGTACTACATCTGCAAATGTGTGGAAAGCACGAGATGTATTTTTTTTTTTTGGAAGGTGGACCTGAATGCAAAAAGTGAGGATTTTAGGGAACATCTAGAAATGTTAATTGTGGCTCGGTAGTACCCCGGAAAATCTTACCTTTTTGTCTGGAATTCCTCCCGAGCGATAGCCGCGCCCTCTGCGTATCCTCGTAGATCTATATCTGCAGTGTGAGATCATTTCAGGCTCCGCCGCCTCTGGCTGCCGCTCTCCCCAGGTTCGGTGATGTCACCGCTGTTCTCCTACCTGGAGAGGAAGCCGCACCCAAGTAACCTGCAATGCAAGGATTTCTTTGCTTCTGATTTTATTCTGTTCTGTGGATTTCTATTCACTTATCTGTCATCAGTGGGAGGAGAGCTCTGACTTAAAGGAGAACTATGAGGCGAGTGATTTACGCTCATAGTTCTAGCCGACGTGTGACAATGAGACTGTCACAGGTCGGCTCGGTAGATCGGGAAGCGAGGGAACACATACCGTCGCTCGCTCACTTCTCGATTATCTCCCTGCAGAGAGCTGTGACTGTCGCTGATGGCTCCCTGCAGGGATTCTCCTCCCCACTCTGATCCTCCAGCGCTGACTGGCCGGACGGTGGAGGGGGCGGGTATAGCTGGCTCTGCCTCTACATAGGCAGAGCCAGCTGTCACTCACGCAGCTGGGCGGGTCCAGACAGTAATGTGGAGGCACAGACACACACGCCGGCCAATGATTGGAGGGACAGACACACGCCGGGTATAGCTGGCTCTGCCTCTAGATAGGCAAAGCCTGCTGTCCCTCACAGCTGGGTGGATCCAGACAGTAATGTCGGGATCCGCTCCGGCTGCGGCGTCTCAGTATAGCGCGAGCTGTAGCTCCCTATATACTGAGCTTAGGGTGACGGGAGGACGCTAGTTTGTGTCCCCCCGTTACCCTAAGGAGAACTATGGGGGAAAGCCCGGACCCCATAGTTCTCCTTTAAGGAAGTAGAGCCCTAGCCTTCTACCAAGATGTCCGCCTCCACCCAGAGACGATGCAGCATAAAGCATGCGAGTCAGTAATAGAGAAAATATCAGCTGTAGGAGTCTACCGGCTGGACTAGTGAGTAGCCCCCCGTGTCCCCTGCTTGCCTTTGCTTGGCATGAGCTTCCACAGAACAGGTCCTCTTTAAAGTGTCATCCCTGATTTAATGTTATGATTTTAACATGACGCATGTATAGCAATGTATCCGTCCCAAAACAATTCCCCTCTTGTCTGTCAGTTCCCTCTCCTTACTGTCCTTGTCTTCACCTCCTTTAGGAATGAGCATCGTTTTGGGGGTGGCGGAGGGCGAACTCTTCACCCACGATGCCGAAGTACAGAAATCGGCTTTACAGATCATCATCAATTGCGTCTGTGCGCCGGAGTGCCGCATCCCCAGCATCGGCAAATACGTCTCGGGGACACCGCGGCGGCGGCCCCTGCTTTCTCACTCCTATCGGCCAAACAGCAGCGGGGAGCCGACCCTGGCCAAGATGTGGAACGTGGTGCAGTCCAACAATGGCATCAAGGTTCTCCTCTCCCTCCTGTCGGTGAAGATGCCGATTACGGATGCCGACCAGATCCGAGCGTTGGCCTGCAAGGCGTTGGTGGGCCTGAGCCGCAGTGGTTCTGTCCGGCAGATTATCAGCAAGCTGCCTTTGTTCAGCAGCAGCCAAATCCAGCAGTTGATGAAGGAGCCGATCCTCCAGGACAAGCGCAGCGAGCACGTCCGCTTCTGCAAGTACGCCGCCGAGCTGATCGAGCGAGTCTCGGGAAAGCCTCTGCTGATCGGTAGCGACGTATCGTTGGCGCGGCTGCAGAAGGCCGACGTGGTGGCGCAGTCGCGGATCACTTTTCCGGAGAAGGAACTCTTGCTGTTGATCCGCAACCATCTGGTCTCCAAGGGGCTGCAGGATACGGTGGCGGCCCTGACTAAAGAGGCCGACTTGCCGATGACTGCTGCGCTGCACTCCTCGTCCTTCCTGCCGGCGGCGGCCACTCAGCCTCCTGCTACCTCGTCGCCCGTTTCCCTGCCGCGTACGCCGCGCATCCCCGCGCGCCTCTCCACCAGCACTTTGTGCCCTCACCTTCCCGCCCGACCTCAGCTGCCTTCCCAGTCGCCAGCCCTCGTGCCCGTCGGCTCTCCGCACATCGGACGCATTAGCTTCGGGCGAGAGCGCCACTCCCCCTGCAACGGGAAGAGGAGCCGCGTCCTGCGGCAGAAGTCGGACCACGGCGCCTACAGCCAGAGCCCAGCGATCAGGAAGCAACTGGAGCGGCACGTGCCTTCCCCACCCACGCTGGACGGTATTATGACTGAATATTTACGGGAACAGCATGCTCGCTGCAAGAACCCCGTGGCCATCTGCCCCCCCTTCTCGCTCTTCACCCCGCACCAGTGCCCTGAGCCCAAACAGCGCAGGCAAGCCCCGACCAATTGCACTTCACGACTCACCCGCCGAGCTGCCTTCCCCAAATACGGGGGCGTGGATGGGGGCTGCTTCGACCGACACCTCATATTCAGCAGGTGAGTTCAAATGTCGTCCTGCCAACAGAATTCCGACTTTTACCTAAATGTGTACAAAAAAATATATTTAAAAATTTCCTTTTAAAGGAGAACTAGTGACCGCTAAAAGCTGAACTGCTAAATACAAATTGTTTTGCCTACCAAAAGATTTGTACTTCTGTCCATCCTGTCCTGAAATGTACAGAGCTCTGCCACACAGCCCTGCCCCCTGTCTGGCATGGTAGATTACCTGATTTTTTTTTCTGTGCTGCAGTTCAAGAAAAACCCTTACAGGTCTTGTCCCTCCCCCAGCTTGTGATTGGACAGTAAAAGCTGAATCGGCAGACTGATCTTATCTGTCGGTCTGCTCTCTCCTCCTATCAGCATATATTTTACAAGTACATGAGCACCGCAGCACACCTGACCGGCCCCTTTGTGCTGCTTCTCCCTTTCGCGGCCTGAGCTCGGCTGTACAAGTACTTTCACTGTTAAAGGAGAACTATGGGGTCAGTGTTTTTTCCCCCATAGTTCTCCTTAGGGTAACGGGAGGGCACAAACTAGCGTCATCCCGTCACCCTAAGCTCAGTATATAGGGAGCTACAGCTCGCGGTATACTGAGACGCCGGAGCGGATCCCGACATCGATGTCGAGATCCGCCCAGCTGCGTGAGTGACAGCTGGCTCCTCCTATCTAGAGGCAGAGCCAGCTGTACCCGCCCCCTCCCCCGTCCGTTCCGCCAGTCAGTGCTGGAGGATCGGAGCGGGGAGGGGGGAATCCAGCCCCTCCCCTGTCACGGCAGAGAGCCGTGACAGGATGGAGAGGTGAGCGAGCGCCGGTATGTGTTCGCTCACCTCCCGATCTACTGAGCCGACCTGTGACAGTCTCATTGTCACAGGTCGGCTAGAACTATGAGGTGAGTGA